GGGGGTGTCAGCACCCAGCCCGGGGAGGGGGCAGCGCTCGGGGGGGGGCTAAAAATAACCCCGAGGTGCCAAAGGGGCACTTTGGGGTCAGTGGGGCCACAGCCCACCCTGAGCACCCCCGAGAGGGACAGGGGGTGTTTAACCCCTCGCTGCCCAGGGCCCCCCCAGACAGAGAGGGGAACAATGGGGGTGTCCCACAGAATTGGGGGACACGGGAGGGGACCTGCAAGAGGGGCAGCACCTGTCCTTGCACACCTGACCTGTCCTTGCACACCTGTCCTTGCACACCTGGGCTGGCCCCCCACTCACCTGGGGCGGGCAGGGCAGCGTGCAGGGGGACACGGGGCAGCAGCTCCAGCGGGGGCTCGCGGCCGGACCCCCCCTCTGCAGAGAGACACCCCCTGAACGGGCCGCGAGCACCCCCAAACCCACCCTCAGCCCCCCAAATCCCCCCTCGGCGGGTGGGGCTGGGGTCACAGAGCATGCCTGGTTTTTGGGGTGACGGGAGCAAACGCAGCCCCCCCCACCCCAGGCAGGGCAGGGCCGCAGGGCCCCCCCTCACCCACGCCCCCCCCCAATCCAGGCTATTCTCTCTGGCGCCGGGAATAGCCGGCGCACGGGAGGAGCCGGCTATAAATAGGGAATTGTGCCGGGGGGGCATGGCAGATCCCGGGAGGGGATGCGCTGTGTCCCTCCCCAAATTCCGCCCCCCCCAGACCCAGCTGCACCCCCGAACTGCCCCGGGGGCTGGGGGGGCACGGGCTGCCCTGGCTGGGGGAGGCTGTGGGGGGATTGGGGTCCCCACGACCCCCCAGCTCCATCCCACATCCCCCTAATTGCCAGGGACGTTAATCCGCATCAGCGCCAATCTGGGATGTGTCGGGGGGTGGGGGGTGGGGGATTAGCCCCCACTGTGGGAACAGGAAGGCACAGGACCCCCCCCCCGCCCCACTCCAGACCCCCTCAGCAGAGCACCCCAAGGGGGGCTGGGGGGCGCAGCTGCCAACTCAGCACATTCCCGGCAGGATCCGTGTCCCCAAGGGGCTCCGCAGGGACCAGCCGGGGGGGGACACCGTGCCGGGGGTGGAATCCCCCCTTTTTGGTGACGGGGACCCCCCCCCGCCCGCGGTTACAGGGACCCCCTCCCCCGTGTGTAACACCCCGCTCCCGGCAGCGCCACGTTTATTTACCAGGCGTTAATCCCGAGCCAAGACTTTTAATAGCCGGGATATTTCTGGGACACCCCCCGCGCCCCCCCCCGCTGCCCCCCCCGGGGTGCTTCGGGGCTTGACGTCAGCCCGGCTATTCCTGGTGCTGCCAGCGGGCAGGAGGCCGCGGGAACCGGCCCGCCCGGCTCCGGGACCCCCGCCCGGCTCCGGGACCCCCTGCCCCATCCCCTGCCCGGGGCTCGCACCCCCTGCCCCACTCCCAGCCTCCTCTCCTGGCTCCCACGGCAGGGCACAGGCGGTCCCCCGAGCCCACGGAGCCCCACCCCGGGACCCTCAGGGATGTTGGGGGGAGCAGCGGGGACCCCCAGGAACTCCGGGAGGGAAGGAGGGGGCTGCACCCCACAATGGCACCGGCACCCCCCGGTTCTGGGAAAAGGAGCCCTGGGGGTCACGGGGGGTGGTTGGAGACCCCCCGGGGGTGACAGGGGACCCCCGAGAACAGGGGTGGCCTCTGCCACACCCCCGATGGCCCCAGCCCGGCCGAGACCCCCCAGCTCAGCACCCCCGAGGGGTCCCCAAACCCCCCCGCAGAGAGCCCCAAAGCCGGGAGGGGACCCCAAGAAAAGCGGCAGAGGCGGCCCGGCCGTGTCCCCGCGCCGCCGTGTCCCCGTGCCACCGCGCCGCGTGCCAGCCCCGTGCCAGGCACGGCCGGGCGACGCTCCAGCCCTGCGGCCGCTCCAAAAATACCGGCGGGTGGCCCGGGGGGGGACTGGGGACAGAGGGGACACACGCCCCATGCCCGAGCCCCTGCAGCGGGACACGGGGCGCTGCCGCCGCCGCGGGCCTCAGTTTCCCCTGCGGAGGCCGCGGTGGCGGCGCTGCCGCGTGTCCCCTCGGGGGGCGGGGGGGGGGACACGAGCGTGTCCAGATGTCGCCGGAGTTGCCCCCGCGATAATTACAGGGCGGCGCTGCCGGGGAGCCAGCGGGAGCCGGGACAGCGCGGGCACCCCGCGTGGCACCACGGGGACACCGCGGGGACCCGCCCCCGGTGCCATGAAGAGCCACGTGTGAGCCGTGCCACGACGCTGCCGGCAGCCGTGCCTCAGTTTCCCCCTCTGTGGCGTTTGAGAGCACGGCGGCACGGGCTGGGCTGAGCGGGGCAGGGGGCGGCTGGCACGGCGCTGGTGCCCCCCGGGGGTGTGCCCCGCTGCTGCCACCCCCGGTACCCCAAGATCTGCTGGCGGGGACAGGGCCAGGCAGCGCCCGGCGGGTGCAGCCCCCGCGGGCTCTCACCTGTGTCGCTCTGGGGGTCCATGGTGGCCCGGGGGGGCTCGCAGAGCCGCGTGTCCGTCAGCGCCGGCCGGGGCACCGGGGCTGTGCCCGCGCCGCCCGGGAGCCCTGCGGGACCGAGCGCCCGTCAGCGCCCCGGGACCCCCAGACCTCCCCCCGCAGCGAACGGGGGGCGGGGGTCCGCACCGAGCCCACCCCCAGGGCAGGATGCGGCCCCCTCCCCTCCGCTGTCCCCCCGGGATTTGGGGTCTGGGGGCACCCCCAGAAGGGAGCCGGGGGTCGGCTCTGCAGGACAAGGGGTGGCAGGGAAGGACCCCCCGGCCGTGCCACCCCGCGGGGACACGGATGGGACCCCCCCCTAAGGACACGGCTGGAGGGGGGACACACAATCACCCCCCCGGTGCTGCAACCCCCCCAAACCGAGGCGTCACCCCGAGATCGGGGTCTGGGGGCGTCACGGACCCCACGGCGGGGGGACACACGCCACTCGCGCTGCCGGCAGCGCCGAGCCCGGCGCGGTGCAGCGGGGCCCCCCCGGCCCCCCCGGCCGCGCTGCGGAGCCGCCGCCGTGCTGGCGCACGGGCCCCCCGACACTGCGGGCCCCCCGAGAGCACGGGAGGCGCGGTGGTGCCCCCCGGTGCCCCCCCCGGTGCCGGCCGTACCTGGGGTCCCCCCGGTGCCGCCCGGCGCGCGCCCCGCCGCCCCCCCGCCTCCTCCTCCATCTTCGCCGCGCGGCCCCGCCCGCCCCGACAACAACATTCGGTGACGTCACTCCGCGTCACGTGACGGCGCCCGGCGCTAAAAATAGCCCCGCGCGCGGGGGGGGGAGCCCCCCCTTTAAAGGGGCGGGGCCCGATGAGGGGCGGGGCCTAACCCGGCCTTAAAGGGGCCGCGGAGAGAGTGAGCGTGAGGCCGTGTAAGTGTGAGGCGGAACGTGAGTGTGCAAGGGCACACGTGTGTGTTTGTGTATGTGTGTGTGTATGTATGTGTGTATATATGTATGTATATATATATGTATGTATGTGTGAATATATGTACATGTATGTGTGATAGGTGACAGGCCATGCCCCACACACACACAGGTGGCACAGGCCGCCGTGCTGCCGCACACACGCGTGTGCGCGCCCCGGAGCTCGGTGTGCGGCCGCTGCCGCGCACGAGGGCGTGGACACACGCGTGGGGACACGCGTGTGCCACGGGCCGGGCGGGACGCGCTCCGCAGGGCACACGCGTGCTCTGCGTGCAGCTGCACGTCAGCCTGCCACACTCACAGACACGCGTGTGCAGGACACGCGCACACACGCACGCCTCTGCCCTTGCCCACGCACGCGTGCGGGTGTAGCAGGCCCGGGTTGGGGGGGGGTCACTCAGCGGGGACGTGCGGGGATGAATCACGCCGGGCCGGGGCCGCGCTGAGTCACCGGCGGCGCCGCGGGGCCCGGCCGGGTGACGCGGGGGCACACGCGTGTGCACATGTGACACGCGCGGAGAAACGGGGTGCGTGGCCCTTTAAGGGGCGCGGCCGCGCTTCCTGCCCGCCGCCAGGGGGCGCGCGGTGCCGCAGGGGAAGTTCCGCCCCTTCCCCCGGGGGCCGCGGGTTCGAGTCCCGGCCCCGCCGCTTCCGCCTCCGGGGCCGGGCCGGGGTCGCGGCGCTGCCATGGTAACGGGGCCGGGGGGACAGAGGCGGGTTTGGGGTCCCCTGGGGGCCATCCGGGGTCTCCACGGAGGGTCCCCACAAAGGGATCTCTGCGGTGAGGGGGGGCCGAGCCGGGGTCCCCTCGGCGCCGTGTGAGGCCCTCCCGGGGCTCCCGAGACCTCCGGGACACCCAGGGGCCCCGGCCCGCTGCGTCCCTCCCTGCTCCATTCTTCCCCCTTTTCCCACAGTCCTGCCACTTCCAGAAGCTTTTTGGGACCGACGGGGAGCTGGAGGACGAGGTGAGGGACCCCCACAATGGCCGAGGCCCCCCCCGAGCTGCTCGGCCCCGGGGGGGCTCGGGGGTCGCACGGATGGAGCCGTTCCCATTCCCAGCGTTTATTTCCCGCAGGATTTCCTCTCCGCTGTGGAAGATGCAGAGAACCAGTTTGTGACCCCCGGGCGTTCCTCCCCCAGCGTGGTCCCGGTTCCTCCCAGTACAGCCCACCCCAGTACAGCCCACCCCAGTAAAGCCCCCACCCTCCGGCCCCTCGCCGGGCAGGGCGAGCATCCCGTGGGATTGCAGGGACCCCCATGGCGGGGGGCAGCCCCCCAGGACGAGCTGGACAATGCCCTTTTCCTGGCTGCCTGCAGGGAGCTGGAGGGTCCCGAGGTGCCCCCGGGGGCTGGCACTGCCCCGGTGCCCCCCGGGCGCCGCGAGAAGCCCCCATGGAAATGCCCAGGGAAGGAGAACGCTCAGGAATGTGCGGCCCCCAAAAAGCTCAGGGTGGGAGAGGAGCCGCTCTCGGGTTCTGGGGGGCTGCAGGACAGGCAGGGCCCCCTCCCCAGTGCCAAACTGGTGCTACGGCCCAGCGCGGCCGGTGCCTGTGCCCCCAGACCCCCTCCTCCGATGGGAGAGCCAGGAAGCTCCCGAGGGTCCCTCCCTGCTCCGGGGGCTCCGTGCCTGAGGCCTGGCCAAGCCCCCCTAGGAAGGAGCAGCTCCTCGGTGCCCTGGACCCCCCCAGCACAGAGCTGCCCCCAGCCCTGGCTGCCCCCCAGACCCTCCTCGGGCCCCCCGAGCACCCCCGTGGTCACCAACCACCTGGTGCAGCTGGTGACAGCGGCCAGCAGAGCCCCCCGGGCAGCCCCCCGAGCCCCCGCCCGCAGGGAGAGCCGGCGCTTCCCGGGGCCCGCCGGGATCCTGCCCCAGCAGGTGGGCACGGCCTGGGCAGGGCACCGGGGTGGGGACGGGGTCAGGATGGGGATGGGGACAGGAATGGGAATGGGATGTGGGATGGGATTGGGATAGGATGGGGACAGCATGGGAACGGGGTGAGGATGGGGATAGGAATGGGAATAGGATGTGGGAAAGATGGGGATGGGATGGGGATAGGATGGGGATGGGGATGGGGTCAGTGTGGGGATGGGGACAGGGATGGGATGGGGATAGGATGGGGATGGGATGGGGATGGGAACAGCGTGGGGATGGGGTCAGTGTGGGGGTGGGGACAGGAATGCAGTGGGTTGGGATAGGACGGGAATGGGATGGGGATGGGATGGCATGTGGGGATGGGAGCAGCTCACGAAGCCAGGCAGATCCCTGGACATCTCTCCCTGTCCCACAAGCACTCTGGGAAGCTGCTGGAGGAGATCCTGGTGTCTGCCCCACAGACTCCAGCTCACGGGGCTGTGGCAAAGCCGCGGGCTCAGGTAACCCCCCCTCCCACCCCTGCTCGGGCAGATCCCAGTGGGACCCTCCCAGTGGGGTGCAGGGAGCCCTGGATGGTGACCATGGGTGTCCCTGACCCCAGGCGCTGCCCAGCTCCCCACTGCCCACGGAGGAGGATTTTGGGAAGGGGCCCTGGCTGGCCATGAAGACGGAGCTGGGGCTGGATGAGAGGGACCCCAGCTGCTTCCTGCACACCTACAGCGTGGTCATGGTGCTCCGCAAGGTGAGGGCGGCCCAGGGTTCAGCTTCCTGCTCTTCTCCCACCCCTCACAGCTGCTCTTAGGGCTGGGAATCTCTGGGGAGGGGGCTGAGCTGAGCTGAGCACAGACATCCACATCCCCGGGGTGCTGAGGGCTGTAGGATCCCAGAATATCTCACATGGGAAGGGCCCCACGAGGATCAGGGAGTTCAGCTGCCAGCCCTGCCCAGGTCTATCCCAAAATCCGCGCTGTGCTGTGCTGTGCAGGCAGCCCTGAAGCAGCTCCCAAAGAACAAGGTGCCCAGCATGGCCGTGATGATCAAGACCCTGACCAGGAGCAGCGCCGGCGCTGGCGCCGTGTTCCGGGACCCCACAGGTGAGGGGGGCAGGGGTGCCTGTGCCCGGGGTTGCCTGTGCCCAGAGGTTCCTGTGCCCAGAGGTACCTATGCCCTGGTGGTACCTGTGCCCTGGGGGTTCCTGTGCCCGGGGGGGGGGCTCTGGTGGTTCCTGTGCCCAGGGGTTCCTGTGCCCTGGGGGTTCCTGTGCCCGGGGGTGCCTGTGCCCAGAGGTACCTGTGCCCAGAGGTACTTACGCTGGCCCGGGACTCGGCCTCGCGCCGCCTCCTGCCCGGCACCGCCACCGCCACCGGCACCGGCACCCCCCGAGCCGCGCCCCGGCTCTGCCGGGACCCCGCCGTGCACAACGCCCTCTACGCCGGGGACCTGCCCCGCGTCCAGAGCATCTTCAGGGACGAGGCCACGGCCAACGTGGTGCTGGAGACGGTCAGCGAGGAGCTGGTGTGGTCACCGGAGCAGGGTACGGGCTGCGGGTCCTTCCTTTCTGCTCCCTTCCCTCCCGTTCCCCCCGCAGAACAGGTGGGGGGTCAGGAAAAGGGGTGGGTTTTGGGGAGCAGGGCTGGTGCTGCGGTTCCTGGGGAGTCTGGGCTGGGGTGGGTGCCCCCCTGCTCCCCCCACCTCCGGCAGGGTGCGGGTGGGTGTCTTGTGATGAATGCCCCAAGTGTGAGGACACGAGGCTTGACTCCATTTTCCTCAGAAGGCTGATTTGTTATGCTATATAATATATTAAGATACTACATTAAAACTATACTAAAAGAGCAGAGAGAGAGGAAGATCAGAAGGCTACAAAGAACAAGAATGGAATGGAATGGAATGGAATGGAATAGAATAGAATAGAACCCTGGGGGTTCCTGTGCCCGGGGGGCTCTGGCCCGTCGCCCCCGGGGCTCAGGGATGCCATCCTCGCTGCCAGGGGAGATGCAGGGCACCGTGCACCGGCTGCTGCTGGAGCAGAGGCAGAGCGAGCTCCGGGCTGGCTCCGTGCTGCTCCTGAGGCAGGTGAGGAGTGCTGGGGGGCTCCTTGTCCCACCCAGAGGGGTCTGAGCCCAGGGGAATGCGGGGTGGGGGATTGGGGTGGTGATACAGCACATGGCCTGTCCTGTTCCCAACCCCAGAACACCCTGGAACAGGAATGTGGATGTTAGGATAAGGGGGTGAGAGGAACCAGTGCATCCCTGTTCCCATTCACAGCACCTGCAAATACAAACACAAGAAAAGGATCTCCCACACTTTCCCACCTCAGATTTTTCTCAACTCTTCCTCAAGTTTCACCCTTCACCCTAAGATCTCCATAAACGGGGCGCTGCAGCTGGGGGGGTTTACCCAGGAGCTGGCTCTGCCCTCTCTGCAGGTCGGGGTCTTCTCCCCCTCCCACCGCAACCACTACCTCAACGTGACCCCCAACAACCTCCTGCGGGTCTTCCCACCCGAGCCCGAGGGCTGCTCCCCCCAGCAGGTGAGGGGGGCACTGCTGGTGGCCCTGGGGGGCTGCTGGGACCCCCAGGGGCGTCTGGGTTATGGGGACCCCCAAGAGGAAGGGGGAGGGCTGGATAAACCCCCCCAGTAATTCATCCCCGCTGGGTTTTGCAGGTTCCTGCCCAGGCTGAGCTGACCCCAGACCCCCCTGCACAGCCCACCCGGGGTGTCCCCGTTCCTGAGGACTGGGGACAGTCGAGGACAAGTGGCCACAGTGCAGAGCAGCATCCTGGGGGCTTCTCCCTGTGCCCACCAAGCTCTGATCCCAGCTGGGAAGAGCGGGTGGGAGCTGATGGATGTGACATGGGTGAGTCAGACCCTCTCTGGGAGGGGAGGGAAAGCTCTCTGTCCTGTGCAAAGCAGGGCTGGTTCCCAACCTGAGCAATTCCACGATCTCACACGCACAAACTCACATCCTGCTGTGCCCTGCAGATGACCTGGACGGGCTCCTGGGAGAGCTGCCCGAGGATTTCTTCTCAGCCCCGGCTCAGGTTGACTGTGGCTGAGCCCAGCACAGGGTGACGGTGCCGAGGAGCAGGTGACACACCTGCCACCCACCCACCTGCTTCTCCGTGGTGTTTGTTGTGGAGCTGAGAGCTGGGGACACCCTGGGGAGAAGTGGCCTCAGCACTTTGGGCACACGGGCTCCCCTCGCTCCCAAACCTGCATTAAAGGGCTGTTTTGTTTCTGCATCACCTGTGTCCTCGTGTGTCACCCCTCTGTGCCTTCCCGGGGGTCCCTGCTCCCCCCCTGGGCAGGAGGAGCCATCCCCCCAGGGTCTCACAGCCCTGCAGGACTGGGGGGGTCCCCAGATCGCTCCCCATGGGTCGCACCCACCAACAGGTTAAACTGCCCCGCACCCCGTGACTCTGTTTACCACCAGCAGTTATTTATAGGGCGCCTGGCTCTGGGATTTGATTCCACACCCGTGTGTGGGGCACAGCCCTATTAATAACCCCGCGGGCTCGCCGTCCCCAGCGCCCCCCTGCCCTCGGGGGCCCCCATGGCCCACGAGACGTTCTCCTTCAGCCCCTCGGCGCTGCGCTCGCTGCGGCTGCAGCGGGAGCTGCTGGAGCGGGAGGATCGCCGCCGGGCGCTGGCCCGGGACTCGGCCTCGCGCCGCCTCCTGCCCGGCACCGCCACCGGCACCGGCACCGGCACCGGCACCCCCCGAGCCCCCCCCCGGCTCTGCCGGGACCCCGCCGTGCACAACGCCCTCTACGCCGGGGACCTGCCCCGCGTCCAGAGCATCTTCAGGGACGAGGCCACGGCCAACGTGGTGCTGGAGACGGTCAGCGAGGAGCTGGTGTGGTCACCGGAGCAGGGTACGGGCTGCGGGTCCTTCCTTTCTGCTCCCTTCCCTCCCGTTCCCCCCGCAGAACAGGTGGGGGGTCAGGAAAAGGGGTGGGTTTTGGGGAGCAGGGCTGGTGCTGCGGTTCCTGGGGAGTCTGGGCTGGGGTGGGTGCCCCCCTGCTCCCCCCACCTCCGGCAGGGTGCGGGTGGGTGTCTTGTGGTGAATGCCCCAAGTGTGAGGACACGAGGCTTGACTCCATTTTCCTCAGAAGGCTGATTTGTTATGCTATATAACAATTAAAAACAATCCACATGGAGCAATGGAAGATGCATCTGGTGCATTCCACAGCAGCACACAGTTATTGTTTACTTTTCTTTCCCTAGGCTCTCAGCTCCTCAGGGCGGGAAAAACCCTAGCAGAGGATTTTTCATAAAATATCATGGCTACAGCTGGGGGTCCTTCCTTTCTTCTCCCTTCTCCCTTCCCTCCCGTTGCCCCTGCAGAACAGGTGTGGGGCCAGGAAAAGGGGTGGTTCTGGGGAGCAGGGCTGATGCTCCAGTTCCCGGGGAGTCTGGGTGGGTGCCCCCCTGCTCCCCCCACCTCCGGCGGGCTGTGGGTGGGTGGGTGCGGGTGAGGGGGCTCCGGCGGGCCGTGGGCTCTCCGGCAGCCCCCCGTGCCCCCCGCAGGGCTGTGGGTGCTGAGCCCCCGCCGGCAGCACACCTCGGCGCTGCGCATCGCCGCCGCCCGCGGCTACGAGGACTGTGCCCGGCACCTGCTGCTGCGGGGGGCGGCCGTGGACGCCGTGGTGGGGGGCCGGGCCCCCCTGCACGACAGCGCGGCCGCCCCCCACCCCAACTGCGCCCGCCTGCTGCTGGCCTTCGGCGCCGACCCCAACGTGCTGAGCGCCGACGGCGCGGCCCCGCTGCACCTCTGCACCGCCCCGCACAGCCTCAGGTGGGGCTCACCTGCGGGAGAGACCCCCCCCAAATGGTCACCGCTGCCCCGCCCACGCAACCTGGGAGCCAGGGGCCTGGGGGGGTCATGGGGGGGTTCCTGGGGGGGTCCCATGGGTGACAGGTCTCTCCAGGGGTGTCCTTAGGGGTGTCCCTGGGCGTGTCCCATGGGTGACGGGTCTCTCCAGGGTGTCCCCGAGGGTGTCCCATGGGTGACAGGTCTCTCCAGGGTGTCCCTGAGGGTGTCCCTGGGGGTGTCCCATGGGTGACAGGTCTCTCCAGGGTGTCCCTGGGGGTGTCCCTGGGGGTGTCCCATGGGTGACAGGTCTCTCCAGGATGTCCCCGGGGGTGTTCCATGGGTGATAGCTCTCTCCACTATGTCCCCAGGGGTGTCCCATGGGTGCCAGGTCTCTCCAGGGTGTCCCTGGGGGTGTCCCTGGGGGTGTCCCTTGGGAGCCAGCTCTCTCCCCTATGTCCTGAGGATGTCCCTAGGGTTGTCCCACGGGACCCACACCTCCCTGGCACGCCCTGCTGGTGTCCCACGGGTGCCATGTCTCCCCCAAGCATCCCCTCACCCTTTCCCACCCTCTCCAGGTGCGCGGAGCTGCTGCTGGCGCACGGCGCGCGGGTCAACCTGGGCACCCGCGACCGGCAGGTGACAGCCCTGCACGTGGCGGCGCGCCAGGGCCTGGTGGCCCACGTGGAGCTGTACCTCCACCACGGCGCCGACCCCTCGCTGCGCACCCACCAGGGCGAGACCCCCCTGAACGCGGCGGCGGCGGCGGCCGAGCGCCCCGAGGACGCCGAGCGCTTCGTGCGCGTGGCCGAGCGGCTGCTGGCGGCCGGCGCCCGGCCCGGGGCCGC